AGGAGTGTTTTAAGAAAAATGACCAATTGAACATTTCTAGGGTCCAACTTGGCAAAAACTGTTTTGAGTAGGTAAGACAGGGCATGGCAGTTGAAGGTAGATGATAAAACTTTATTGGTACATCCACAAATATAGTTTGTACAGGTGGTAGAACATGGAATTAGTATATAAATGAGCACATCCAGATAGTGTTCTCTGAGGCATGGGGGAACCTGGGAGGTGTAGTTGATTTGCAAATAGCAGCTGCTCAGTGGAGGTGAGGCCAGGGAAGGTGGGTGGATCTTATCTGCCCTCACCTGTTCATCTGGCCCCTTTCTCTACACCGAAGCTGGTGAATACAAACCTGAAGGCCTTGAAGATACAGCTGTGCTCCCTGTGAAGGACAGGGGACCATCCACCATCACTGAGGGGCTCTTACTTCACAGCCAGGAGGCAGAAACCATGGGATAGGATGCATAGTTGGAGATGGACATGCCAGCATGACAAAAAGGTGGTTACCACTTACCACGGGCCTACAGGCAGCTATTACAAGAGAACAAGAAGGCCAAGTACCTTCTAAAGGCTACCATGCAGCACCACTATCCTTTTGGGATGAACATGTTCCAGCACTGGACTTGATCTTATATCAGGATCTCATATCAGTGATTATGAACAACTGGAAGTGGCAGCAGAAGTGGCAGAGGTGGGCACAGATCCCCTGTTGCACCCAACAAAAGTGGTGGAGGGGTATCTCCTCTCTACCTTCTGTCTCTGCGTCTGTTCACCACATCTCCACATTCTTCCCCCCATTGCACTTTCCTACCCCACCCCTTTCATCCAGTTGAAGGAAGAGCTGACAAGTGTGGTGTGCAGGTTCCTGCCCACGCCCCAAGCATTCAAGAAGAGGTTGATCCAAGAAAGTTGGAAAGTTCTCAAATTCGGTGGAAGGGAGCAAAGACAGCAGCTAAATATGGCTAGAGGACTGAGGGCAAGGAGGGCCCTGGGAGTCCTAATAGGAGGGTCTGCAATAAAGGGCACAGCACTCCTGCAGTGGATGAAGCAAAAGCAAAGGCACAAAGGCACACTGGTGATGAGGTTGAGAATTTGGTATGTATGAGAGACCCCCTGAACACTCAAGAACAAGTTCCAAGTTCATAGAACTGCTTGAGAATGACCCACAGCCTCCCACTGAGCATAGCCTGACGCCCTTCCAGGCCATGAGGACACACCCCACCATGACCTTATCCCAGGGAACTGTGGGAAATGAAGACATTATTCTGGTGCAACCCACTTCAGCTGAGTCTGTGCTGAGGGTGGGATGGAGGTTGTCCCAACACCCCAAAGACCCTGAATGTGCATATAGCATTGGCCTTACTCTGCCTTTGGCCTGAACCAGAGAGTTTCCCCAACTTCTTAGTCCCTGGAATGCTGACGCATAAGAACTGATGTGTTTGGGGCCCCCTAGGTAGAGTAATGAGGGCTGAGACCCTCTCCACCAATGGGCCTAGAGGGTCTGGAACGCAACAGACCCTCAAAATTAGGGAAGAAAAGGTCAATGCACTGGGAACCAAAGCCAGTTATTTCCATGCTGTAGTTCCCACTGGTTTGCTGAAGAAAAAGAAGTCTAAGTCAAGGCTGTGTGTAGTTTGTCCTCTTATAGACACAAGAAATATAACTGACACTTTTTTTTTTTAAAGATGACCAGTAAGGGGATCTTAACCCTTGTCTTTGTGTTGTCAGCACCACACTCAGCCAGTGAGCGAACCAGCCATCGCTATATGGGATCCAAACCCGCGGCCTTGGTGTTATCAGCACCACACTCTCCAAGTGAGCCGCAGGCCGGCCCTATAACTGACACTTTTGACATCAACATGTATAGTATATTCAATGTTTAGAAAGTCAATCAACCTGGCCTTAACTCGTGTATACCTCATGCAGGTTTCAATTCCCCTGTATGCATTAATCCATTAATGCCAATGACTGAAGTCAAGGTGTGCATCTCCTGGGTTTAAACACATTGATTTAAGGAAAAAGAAATCCCTTCTCTTGACAAGCTCCCACACAAGATATGTCAGCAATGTGGTGGGGTTGAAGAGAGAGGCCCACCCAGGCTTCCATACAGAATAGCATGGTTTCCACAGAAGAATGGAAGAATATAGCATGGTGGAAATGGTTTACAGCCAGTCTGAGACCTCAAGCAACAAACCTAAATCTCAACCTCTCATTTTTCTAACTATGATATGGGGTTACTCATGCCTGGGTTATAGATGAAATGTTGACACCCAATCAATATAATTTTACATCAACACTGAATAACAATAAACACATCACATATAAAAACAAAAAATAAGCTAATCTCATGTTAGATGAAAATTGTAGCATCAAACTAAAAAGCTATGGCACAAAAAATGAAACAAATATCAAAGTTAGGATACAACCCACAGATTCAGAGAAAATATTTGCAAGCCATACATCTGACAATGGCTAAATCCAAAGCATATAAAGGACTCAAACTACTCAATAAAAATAACCATACTCAAAAAAGTGGGCATAAACCTGAATAGACATTTCTCAAAAGACTTGAATTGGCCAAGAGATATATGTAAACATTGTCAACATCACTAATCCACAGGGAAATGCTATTTAAAACTACAATAAGATCACATCAGACCTGTTAGAACAGGTATTATAAAAAAGATAAAAATTCTGGAAGGTGTGAATAGAACACTAGACAGGAACATAAATTAGACTGTTATTGTAGATGAAGAGGCCATTTTATAATGACAAAAGTGTCAGCCAAGAGGGCACAACAATTATACATATACAGATATTTAGAAAGATATTTAACTTTCTTTTCACTGTCCCATGAGATGTCCTTGCCTGATAAGATATCCCATACTTATTGCATTTTCTCCCAATAATTTGATTTTCCCATAAACTGACTTGGGTATAGAAGGTGACAATACAGGTTTCTCCTCCCATATACAAGAACTGGAAACTTCCCTCAGAAAGTTTATGAAATCAGTTAGGTACAGTGGGCTGGTTGTGTTGAAATTCAAAAACATAGAATGGCTCAAAGAATTTCCTAGATAATGTGTAAACAGAGGTTTTGGGATAGAGGTGAGAATATCTCTGGTTCTTCAATTCCTTCTATTTTAACTGGGGGTGGATTTCTCCTACCTCTGGTCCCCAACTCTACACAGCAGCCATCTTGATTCAGTACCAGAGAACATGGGAAATCTGGAACTGCATGGAATATATTTTTTAATTACCTGGACTGGAAATAACATTCATCACTTGTATCTATGTTCCCCTGAACAGAGCTAAATTACATGGTCATCCACTCAGTCATGCAAGGTTCAGATTGCAGGCTATGCATACAAGAGAAAAGAGTGATTGTATTTAGAAGACACACAGCCAGTATAATCTATACAGAATTTCTCCCCTGTATAAATTCTCTAATGCTTGCTGTGGTGTAACTTTTTTGTTTTTTAGTGGATGGTTGGTATGGGGATCCTTTGTGTTATGAGCACATTGCTTTAAGCAACAATACTCTTAACTGTAGCCAGCCTTCAGATGTCAGAGGAAAAATGTTTTCACATCCATCAGAGCCCTCCTCACATATCTGAGAGTTACACTTCTGGTGATTCAACCAGTTATCAAAAATCCTCAAAAATGAATAAAATTGTTAAATAATTGAAACAACTCTACCAGTAAAAAACAACACAGTATAACAAGTATTTACATAGTAATCACATTTTGTTCAGTCTTAAAAGGAATCTATACAATATGCAAAGCACATAGCAGGAAGTCAATTGGTAATACACAAACACCACACCATTTATAGAAGAAACTTCAGCACCAGCAAATTTTATATAAATAGATCTTCAAAACAATCGCCAATACCAAAGAATAATTATACATTTTTTTTCCTTTTTGTCTTTTTTCGAGTCCGGCAACGGATCGCAACCCTCAGTGTCGCACCCGTACTGGACCGGGACCGGCAACAGGATCGCAACCCTCGGTGTTGCGCCCGCACCTCGCTCAGCCAGTGAGCGGGAACTGGTCTGTATGTGGGATCCGAACCCTCGGCGGGAGCGCTGACACGCTCCCAAGTGGCGCACTGTAGCAGTGCGCCACCGGGCC